TGGTATGTTATGACTTTTGGTTAGCTCACATTGGCCAGATACATGTCACGTGTATAACGCAATAGATAATATATAAATATTTGTGAGGAACATTTTGGTCGTTAAAATATATAATGGTGTAAGAGTGTGTATGTAGAGAAACGCTTGCGTATCTAGTTGTATGCTGAACGATAACGTTAATTTATGTAAATGTATAAGTGTGTGTGTGAGGAATGTCTCCCTCGTTTTTTTTTCGGTGAAATATAGCGAGATGTTGTAAATAATATACCCATCATGAAATGTATTAATATATTAAGAAATCACCTAAAAATCCAAGGAAAAGCTTCCTCTAACCATCCACAAAATATATGCAAATTAACCACTGTTTATTTACTTTCAATAACATTTTCTACAAACAAAAATTTGATTTTGCCATGGGGTCACCTATCAGTGGTATCCTCTCTTACCTCTTTCTAGAATTCTTAGAATCCGCACCATTTAAAAATATCATACATAACAGTTCTACTTACCTGAGATACATAGATGACGTCCTCTTATTTTATCCCCAAGATACAAACCTATTAAACATAATCACAAAATCTCAATAAGGTTGAACCCACCATCGAATTCACATATCTACTTGAAATAAATAATTTTTTAACTTTCCTCGAATCTTATTAATACAATGATAAATTAGATTTTAAAGTGTACCAAAAACACAGAAACAAAAACGACCTAATCAATTTCTATTCCCGACATAACCAGAGAATAAAATCTGGACTAATCATACGATGCTGCATCAGAGCCCTTAGGATATGCAACCCTGAATATCTAAATGAAGAAGAGGAATATATTGAGAAAACATTCAAACTTTTCCACTCTCCACACCGTTTCAGTCTAACGCTAAAAAACGAGCTCACAAAATCCATATTGCCCAAAAAACAGATACTCCCCAAAATTACGCAAAAGTCATAATCTTATCCTCCAAGAACCTTTCGACTAAACTCGCAAACGAATTAATCACCCCTAACACTAGGATCATTACCACCACCTCCAAGACAATCGGGAATATGATCAGGAAGAAAAATGAACACTATTTCAAATGCTGGAATTTATCAGATAAAGAGAGCAAAAACATTTACCCAGATCTACGAACACAAGTGAGACTTGCGTTTAGACAGATATTGATTTTACTAATGCCAGCCTAATTAAAAAATGATAGAACCCTTTAAGGGGAAAATATTTGAAAATATATCTATAACATATAACCAACTATAAATACTCGCTTGAAACATTACATCACATCGCCATCTTTCTACAGATCCATTTTTCATGAATTATTCATGAATCTAACTTATTAGTCTAATATAGAAAATAATGAAAATTTACAAATCGTTTTCAATATATAAGCATGAAAAATGCTTTAATGATAAATCTAACGAAAACATGATTATTAAAATATCTTGATACGTCTCACCGACCCACACAGACATCTGCCACAATACATACACATACACAAGAATATAAAATCCAGCTTAATACAAAATTATTTGCAACAACTCGCTACATTTCGCCTACAAAACCAAAGATAGATATTCCTCATACACACACACACACACACACACACAAACACGCACACACACGCACACAAACACACACACACTTATGTACTTACATGAATTAACGCTACCGTCCAATATATGCCTAAAAACACAAGCGTTTCTTTACATACACACTCTTACACTATCACACATTTTAATGTCTAAAATGTTCCTTACACATCTATTGTGTTTATACACGTGACACTTATTTGATTAAAATAATAAAAATAATAGTAATATTAATATTAGTATTCTGTCTCTGCTTTTTTCATTTCTATCTTGGTCTCTGGCTTAGCTTTAATAAAAGTGAAACATGTTAGATTGAGATACGTTTACTACTTGTTCTTCATATATATATATATATATATATATATATAAACACAGTGCGATGGGTAAATTGTCGGCATTTTATATTTTTAATTTCACGCATGCACGTTGTTTGGTTTTGATTTTGTCGACTGCACAGTATAGTAGGGTCAGTTGGGCACGGTCTATGAGAAATATAGCAACATGACACAATCCTCTCGACCAGAAATTTGAAAATGGCACGCTGTAATGCTTGGCATTCGTTCCGGAAGTTCCAATATGAACATTTCCGAGTGTTTGGGGGACAGTGCAAAGGATTCGGAAAGAGTTAGGTGAGACGAAGGTACGGCAGCTCAGAAAACTCACTAATAAGAAAAGAACTCTCAAACTTTTGGGTAGGAACCTCGGACTCAATACGAGGTCTACATCAAGATGAGGTACTGCTGCCCTGGATCAAGAGGGTGGCTACTGGAATACCCTATGTCACAATTATTAGTTAAATTGTTTAACAGATACCTGGAGGATAAATCCTTCCAAAGTTTATATAAGTTGTCAGCTGTATACCCTGATATCAAGAATCCAGATGAGCGCTCATTCCCTTCGTAAATCAGGTTCCTTTGTATCATCAGCAATCTCTTTAAATCACTGATCAACAAGAATGTTAGTCATCACCTCAACAGGAATAACCTCTTAAGAGACAAATAGTTTGAATATCGGCAGTCTATGCCCAGTGCTGATGTCCTAACAATTATAATTGCAATAAAAACCAATATCGAATGAACACCTACAAATTGATTTTGCAGCATTTTCAGCTACCTGTTGATAAATTACTGGAATAATTATCGATGTTGGCCAAACAACAGTCCATGCAGTGTCGATAATCGGGTTATTTGTTCAAAGTTTCTTTGTATAAGGAATATATTTTAATGAATGACTATCAACAGAAGAGCCAAAGACTTAATACAAAATACTACTCTAGCTTTTTGTGCCGATTAATGGCAGTGTTGAAAGAAAAACAGAGAGGGAAGTTGTAGAAAGATTTTTTCTTTATGTGAAATAATGTACCTGCTCACAGGTGTGACGAGAATTTGAAGTTTCACTACATAAACCATCCACCCTACTTACCAGATATTTTCCATCTGATTATTCTCTGTTTCCAAACCTTAAAAAGAGTTTGAAAGAGAGGATATCTTTCCGTAATTCAGAAGTGATAAGAGACGTATGGCAGTAATTCAATGACTGAACATTAGAATATTTAAAAGGGTTAATGATGTATCAAGTGTTTTGCAACAAGAAGTTTTCAGCACAACCTAATATCTTTCAGATTATAGACACATATCTTTATGTCTCTATTTGTATATGCGTGCGTTTGTCTTTACGTTTCAACACCATACAATTCGAAAAAAATGTTTCCAAATACGGTGAACAAAACTCTTGTCTAGATACCATGTCGTATAAAAAAAAATTAAAAAATTAAAAGATTTTCGGTTCATATTTTAAGGTGAATTTCTTGATAAGATCATTTGTTGTTCAAATATTTATATCACAGAAATACGAATGAAACATGAATACAGAAAACTAATAAAAAGACTAGAGAGTACAAATATTAACATCAGATAATAATTAAAAGACGGAATTGATTATTTTAAAATTGTTTTCAAACATGACTATAAAATAAAATATATATATATATATATATATATATATATATATATATATATATATATATATATATGTACACACACATATATAGTTTTGCGTGTGTACATTCATACACAAAGCTAACCATGTACAAAACTGAGTACGAATGTGAATATGCTCTTATAGATTTATAAAATTGGAAAATAGCAAATTTAAAATATTTCCCGTTTTTAATCAAATATTGATTTCTGTTTTAACCTACCATACGCGTAAAAAAACTGTATGATATGTCAATCGAGTAATCTTGCAAGTCTTGAAAGTACCTGAAAGTTTTTTTGAACTAATCAAATTCCTTTCTATATTTATCAGATTCACTTTTGAAAGAGTCTGGTACCAAAAGGCAAATTTCAGCTAGCTTCCTTTCTCTTTCTCTTCAAAAAGTTCTTATCAGGAAATTTAATATTTCAACTGCATATTTTATATCAGGCCAAGTTTTATCGCGTTTTTGTCGACTTGCACTGTGATGACTTCCATATTTAAACGCCTTATTCCTGCGTTAGTGCCTATACAATATTAAATCTTTTAACAAACAGGTGCAGCGCTGCGTAACGACTCTTTAATTATATTAACTCTAGGAATATAAGCGCCAGAAATCGATGAAAACCTTTGGTCGATAGAGATGAGCTTTGTCGTTTATTAAATAAGAAAAAAGAAAAGATGATATTTGCTTTTAAAAACAAGCTAGACGACATTGTCTCTTTTACATAATATTATTTATAGAAAAGACAAAAATTCTACTTTTTGCTAGAAGTGAACATTCTTTTAATGTTTCTGTAATTATATATTTGTGGATACGTAAATTATAATGAATTTGTATATGCAAAAATGTATAGTGCAATTCTGTTGACCCCTAAATATACATGCCGCCACAAACCTACATGCGTCGTTGCATACTAATATATATATATATATATATATATATATATATATATATATATATATATATATATATATATATATATATATATATATATAACATTAACCTTACTGATAATGACTACTAAAATTGGTCGAAAATAATCAAGCAAAAATATCAAGCCTTGAACATTTTTAATAATATTTACAGCAATTTCTATCCCAGTCAAATCGATAGAAATGTATTTTCTAACATTATCGTTCTCTAATACTGGGCATATAATATGTTTTTGGTTGATTCATTCATTTTCTACGGTTTAGCAATCGTTTGTAGGTTATTTAAAGCCAGAACATATTTTCCCTTGTAAGAATTTTTGTTTATGATAATAATGGTTTAGTGATACAGTTCCATAGTTGGTGGGAAAATAGACGTGGATTCATGCCTTTCGCAAGTGTACTTGCGCGTAAGTGAATATAAAGAACCCAATGGAAATTTGAACTCGGATCTCCGATTAACAATTTTGAGTCATTATCCATTACCCCACCTGCACATCCAAGCTTACAACACCTGATATTCCCAAGCGGTCACCCATCTAGGTACTGACCAAGCTTGACGTTGCTTTACGTCGGTGATCGTACGGGAACCAGTGATTCAACATGATGTAGCCGTGATTCACGATATATATATTGGCGTGGGCATAATAATAAAGAAATAAATGAAGTGGGTTCACTAGCAAAAATTAATCTATCAAATATTTTATATTGCTCAAAATATTAATGTACTTTTAAAATGTAGGTTCCTTGTGATTTACCTCGCTTTATAGGCAAATAAGTAAAGTAATTATTGTACTATATTATTATATGCAAATAATATAGTACTTGTTGAAGTGGTAAGCTTTTGATCTACAAAATCAGCCTCGATCGATATAGCAATCTTTAATGTATTTTGAAATTAATTAAGAACCAACAATTTTAGATGCATAAATCTTCATAATTTATTATCTCACTTGAAAATACTGCCGATTTTTTACTTGTACATAAACTATGTTATCATCTACATGTTTTATATCTTTGGACGGAGGATAACGGCTCGGATTGAGAAATCGGAGAACGGAGTTCAAATTCCAGGCAGATCCATTACATTCATTTATGTGCTAATTACCATTAGGAAAGGTATGAATCCTCTTCTTCTCCCCTCAGCTATGGGTAAATATCAGGAAAGACCAGGTTCTATAGCCTTGGATGCAAATGGTCTACCATAGAAAGAAATGGAAACCCAATGCGGAAAAAAATTGCCTCGTCAGTCATGTATCGAAAGATACATGATCACCTAAACGTGTATCACGCATGGCACATAACTGACTGATATTTCTTTATTAACGAAGTACTTATTCTAATAAATTTTATTTTACGATGGAAATATATTTAGAATATGATATTAGCCTTTCAGAAGAAGGAAATTAAAGTTGTGCCTACTTTTCTGTAAGGTTTAATGTCTCAAAACAAAAGAAAAAGGTTTACTTGATTTTGATCATCGACAGTGAACATCTAATTCACTCAAAAAAGAACACTGCTTATGAATGTTATGACAAATACATCTCGAACTCTTCATTAAAATTCAATTGCTTAACTCTCCAGAAGGCGTTTATTTAATTCTCTCAGCAGTCAATATCTTTTCTAAAAAATAATAGAGTTTTTCTTATTATTTAGAAAATTAATTTTTCATAAGGTAATCTTTCTTGATTTTTGCCCATTTTATTTTCCCTGATAAGTTAGTTTAAAGTTTAAGGCATAGCTTCAATTCTCAATAATTGAAACGTGGTCCGGTTTCTAGATTCATAGCGTAGATTTTCTTTGTCTGAATTCCTGGAATGAGAAATTATAATTATTTGCAGTCGAGGTAATGTCCTCAACTTTGTTATTATTTTCACAAACTTTTTGACGATGTACCCTCCAACCTTCATTAGGTGTTTGTCGATTCGGATAAGTGTCAGAAGATTTCAAGTTGAACTCTGCTATCCATATGTAAGGATTATCTCGTCTAGTTCTTTTTAGAACTGCTCAGTTATTGCTAATCCTGTTTATTCTGAGTCTGTACAATCCAATCCAGGGTCTAAACCCATAACTACTATGCCACCAAATCCACGAACCAAAGGTTTAAATCCACGAGGAGATTTTCTTTGTCAATTGATTGCTGTCGAATCATTTCAAAACTACTTACTCCATTGTTGTATATAGAATACGACAATCATGTATTATTCCATGGAAGTAAAACTTATTAATGAACTCCAAGAAATTATCATTCATCTTTAACTGGAAAAATGTTTCCCGATGATTAACAATGCAGTTACTTTTCTATAATATGTTTCACTAACGGTAACTCATTACAAAGCCCAAGAGCCACCCAAGATAGAGGATTACTGAATGAAGTGAGTGGTAATTACGTAAGCGGATAAACTAGGAAGTGAAGCTTAGAAGACGATAACGGATAGATAACGATTTACCGTCGACTTAAAACGGTTAAGTTTGTTGCGTTCCGGGAAACATGGATGCAGGAGTCTGTTATACAAAGTAGCGGTTCTTGAAATGAAACATTCATAGTGGAACGCCATGTTTACTAAAGGAATAGGTAAGGAATGTGGGGGATTCAACCCTTTAGATGTAACCAGGCGGATCTTGGCTGTAAATACTTCAGCTTATGACACCTAAGAAAGAAAATAGTGATACAGTAGAGATAGGAATGTAGTATTGCGTCCATGGAGAAAGCGTTGCTTTATATCAGAGCCCACACAAACTTTACTCTCTGCAGATTAAATTCGATGATGATAATAATGTTTTTTTTTCCTTACATGTTCATAAAATAGATTATATTAGTCCCTTGAATTATGTAATTATGTTGAATTTTAATTATGAAATTATTTTATAATTATATTGTAATTATTTATTTATATTGAATTGTATTTATGTTAAATTGTACTTATGCTGACTTGCAATTATGTTGAATTACAATCGCTTCTCTTATTTAGATTATTCCCTGTATTGAATGACGTCTAATATATGTAGGTCTCCATAATAATGGTTTTTATATTAACGGTTTATAACGACTGCACCATGACGTCTTTCTCAATTTAAATTTCGTAATCCTTTATTCCATAAAATCTTATTGACATTTATTTGATGCACTGATAATTATTGTTTCAAGTTTAAGCACATAAGATTCATTATCCATCGTAGTATATTGGAATGCTTTCTCCTATTACTCTTCTCATTTAACCCGTTACAAAAAGATATTTTACAGTTCTGATATTCCGTGAAGATATATTTCATCATTTCATATATTTCTGGAATATTGTTCTAAGACATCGTTTTTGACGATACATTCTTCTACCTTCTTCCGATTTATACTGTATCTTGTCATTAAAATTTGCTGGCTAAACAGTTTTAATTTCGTTATTATCATCTATAGCTAGAATTTATGAATTTACCAAATCGTGTAAATAGCTGTTTAAATGATAATTAAGACAATAATCCGAAATATATCAAATAATAATTCTTTTAACTCACAAAAGTTAAGTTCATTAAGTTAAGTTTGAAAAATAGAGTTTTGTATGCAATTTAACATTTAACGAATGACTTTGCACCAAATTAGATATTCGGTCACTTAAAAAAGCTTGAATCTTTGAGAAATATCGATCTTATCAAGCAGTTTTCATAACTCTATATGATTTCTTAACATTGTCTTGAAACACCCCCTGCAAAATCCTCTTTAATCTTTATACAAAAATGATCCTAAATGTATAGAAAATCGAAAAAATATTTTAAAGTTTGTTCGAGGAAGACCAATAGGATCATTTCGTTTTTGTTTAGAAGAAATATAAACTTTGAGTATATTTTAAGAGAAATCAAAAAACCAAGAAACATATTGAAAAAATGAATTCCAAATGAAAACAATCCGTAATTTCCAAGGCATTCATTAATTCCTTAATGAACCCATCTTCTCTTTATGACAGTATATTATTCGAATTGGTGTATCTTGGCGTTAAGCAAACATCGAAATCATAGTCGCATATTTTTGCTGTATTTATTGCTATTTCATAGTGATGGTTTACTTCCAAAATGCATTTGAAATTTTTTAGACAATAACAAAAACATTAACCCGAAGTTCAGAATGATTGTGTAAACGGGAAAAGAAAAACTTTATTTCATGTTAAAAAATAATTGCGACGAGATCAAATGAATGAAAATGTTATTTTGCAAGATGCAATAAAATAATATTAATTCATCAACCCTTGAATTATTTAAACTCTCAAAGTATATATTCTAATGAATAATTGCACGCATCTTTTCCCAGTAAATGATTTACAATATATAAATGGTCAAATGTGTAACTATATATGACCAACACACATTTTATTTACCTGACCATGTGCATTTATCTTTCTTACTTTTTCTTTCTTTTTTTTTTTAGTTTTCATACATTTCTTTCATTTTATTTAATGCGTTTATCTGCGTCAGGTGCCTGTATTTTACTTTTGATTCTACCGATCAGTTCAATGACCACATGGCTAGACTTGTCTCAGCAATCAATACAATTAAGAGATTCTAAATCTAAATGCTTCGATTTTATTATAACTGAGTGGTAAATTTTATTGTACAATGATTGACGAACGCTGAATATCCAGCTATCAAGAAGAAAGTTAAAAAGAAATTATGGATAAAAAAAGGTTAAGATGACATGCACTTCCATCCATATTTTTGTCCGTGATGGTGGATTCGAATGTTGTCGAGATGAAGACAAAAAGAGAAATTACTGATCAGACAGATATCGATTGATAATAGTTCTCCAGAAAGAAAGTTAAGGTCATCAAGATACTGAAAGCAATAAACTGATGACGCTATTAGATTCTGAATGCAGAAATAAAGAAAACACATAAAATGAATCATCGCTCAGACTGTGTATGATGAGACGAGAAAAAAAAATGATTTTTTATCAAAAATATCCAACGCAATAAACAGTTTACATTACAAAGACAAACAGAAACACAGATTATAAAACTATTTCCAGTTTACATTTACTTTTCCAGATGACACCATTTTAAAAAGAGACAAGTACATTATCTTATAATTTATTCCTACATTTTATTCTGTAATTCGTATCAATTAAAGGAAGTACGTATTTCCTCTTCAGAGACAATGGTTGTTTTGCAAATTAAACATAGGACGTGAAAAATAAAAATGTATTTGGCTTCAGTGTAAGAAGCTAGCTATGGAAATCACTCAACTTATCCCTGAATAATATTGAGAAGCAGTGTGATATGAAGTGACAAAGAATGTTTCTTTTTCACTTTTGTTCAGTAATTGGTCACATTTGCTAAACAGATTTCAAAAATTGTTCTATAGTTGGCGTATATAAATGGAAGAGAAACATTTTAATTACGGAAATGTTTAAGAATAGGATTTAACATGTATGGTAATTTAATGAAAGTAAAATAACAATATACCGAATATGCTGAAAGGAATTTATAGAGTTTACTTCGAGTTGAGCAACATTAGCATATATTCTCCCTAATTTTCTGATAAAATGAAGAAAACATTTAGAAAATTTAAATTCTGAATTTGTTTTTAAAATGATTATACGGTTATAAAAACATTTATGCATTTTGAAATCA